CTCGAGTCTTGAGGCTCGTCCGCTCTTGAGCAGGGTCTTGAACCCTGAATCTTGAGCTCGTGAGTCTTGCGCCGGGTCCATGGACTTGATGATGTCTTCATTCATGCGCACGTCTTGGACGTGAAGCATCTTGATTTTCTTGATTCTTGCGCAAGCTCTTGAACCTTCAGGCGGCGTCTTGCGTGTTGAATCTTGCGCGAGGTCTTGAAGCGGCTTGAGGCGAGTCTTGAAGAGTCTTGACGGGCTCCCACCAAGGTCTTGAATCGACGTCCCCGGCGGTCTTGAACTTTGAAGCCTTGGCGAGTCTTGCGCGAGGTCTTGAATCGTGTGATTGAGTTCCGCGAGGCTTGAAGGCATCTTGAGGCATCTTGAGGTATGTCTTGACTCTTGCATGCACCGTGAGCATCTTGACAGTCTCATGAGTAGGTCTTGCACCTTACCGTCCCGTCCATTCGTCCGGTAGTTCGTCACCCTCAGCCTCGAAGTGGATGTGTCTTGGTTTGCGCCTTGCATGGTCTTCCGTGGACTTGCGCAGTCTTGGAGGGGAAAGAAGGAAGGAAGGATGGAACAGTCGTTGTCGTCGCTGTCTGAAGAGACATTGACCATGGTCACCCACTGGCGAACTTGACTTGCATGAGAGTGAGACGTACCAGAGAGAGCGCTGGGAAGGTGGTGGGGAGCTTGCATTGAAGGGAGGGTGAGAGAACCTGGGAGGACCACGATTTCGCACACGGCGAGGAGGCCCTAACGCGCGAACCGTCAGTGTACGCTCGAGGACGAGGGCAGGCAGGACTCACTCGGTTACAGGCGTCGCCGTTTCTTCGATGTTTGGTCTCGAGTCTTACTGTAGGAGCTAAAGGGCGGGGGTGGAAACGAGATGGTGGTGGGAGGGAAGAAGGAGGGAAGATGCGGAAAGTGGCTGACAGGATAGAATTGTGGCTGTGCAGGGCTCAATATTCAATGTTTGTCGGAACTCGGGACTCTTGAGGACGTCTGGCACGTCTGCTTTCCGGTCTTAACCCAGTACATTCAGGTCGAGCGTTGACTACTCGAATCGCTGGTACTGCGTGCGAGGCGAACGTCCACCCTCGCGATATTATTATTTATTATTTTAAAAAATCTTCCAAAACCGTACCCTCCCTCCATCTTAGTCCAATAAAGTTGTTTGCACCAACATACGGGAATAGAAAGGTGGTATGGGGCTTGTCGCTTTAGCACTTCAAACTTCAAGTTTCAATTTGGCGATGCTCTCGGTCAAAGCTGCTGCTCACATGACCGCGATTTGACGTAACTCTCAAGCAACTCTCGGATCTCTAGGTCCTCCACCGCGACCCTGTATTCCAAGAGGTTTGGTTTACGGTCCTAGGATGCCTAAAGCCAATATTATAATTGACTTTTATTTCTTCGATGCCCCATATCCCATTCTGAAACTTCTAAGTACATCCTCTCTACCTCAGCACAGACTTGATATACATCATGGACATGGCGCAAACCACCTTCTTCATCGTCTTCATCGCCATCTTTAACCGGGTTACCTCGCTCGAGGTCGGGCATGTCCTCCGCCTGCACGACCGCTGGGTCGATGCCCTCTTTTGGTGTGGTGTAGATGATAAGACGGATAACCGTGAGCGAGTAGTAGTAATACATTGAGATGCGTACAAGTGAGGTCAAGAAAGATCCATCGGCCCTTCTCCCTCGGCGGGAAAGCACAGCTCGCTCTCGTCCTCAGCAGCCTCGTCGTCGTCCTCGTTCCAATCGCTCGTCGTCTCCCAGTCGTTCTCAAATTCGACATCGACAGCCAGCACCTCGTCGTCGGTCTCGCCGGTAAGCGGGAGGAACGCGAGCATGTTCATCTGGCCGGGGGCGCGGTGGGAGATGGGCTGGACCCATCGGCGCTCACGGAGGCGTTTGTGGCGTTCGCGGTCCTCCTCGATGCGCTTGAAGACTTCCGGGCGGGAGAGCGAGGAGTGCGACGCTTTGTGGTGGGACGCTGGCGCCGCTGTGGCAGAGGACGCCTGGACCTCGCCCACAGGCGGAGTGCGCTTCCCCAGCACCGACAACACGTCGTCTACCGTCTGCGGGTCTACGACGCGTTTACTTCGCCAGCTTTCGAGGATCTGTTGGGTGTCAAAAACGAAAAACGAAAGAAAGATGGCAAGGACGAGCCTGTTTTGTGCTGGTGAGGTTCGGCAGGCCTTCGCGGCCGGCCGGAACGACGCACTCGACGATTTTTCCAATGTCGCGATTGACAAAATCGACGTATTGTTTGTTCCCTGGGTTGGATCCCAGTGAACTGGAGTGGGATTTGACGAGAAGGCACGCCTCGCAAAGGGAGTCGAGAAAGTAGAGGATGTTGATTCGGGAGTTGATGGAGCCCTGGAACTATTCAGACCAGAAGCTGGGAGGGTGTTACAGCTACTACCTTCTGGCATTCCTCAACGATGCAGTCCCAGAGATCCTCGCCGCACGGCGGAAAGTATTTTACGGCAAAGCCTACGACTTTTTGGATGGACTGTTGGGAGCTGGTTGAGCGAATTTAGGAGGAAAGCAGAAGAAACCAAGGGTTTTGCTGACGCGTTTAATCGTTTGAGAAGGGCAAGGAACTGGATACGGACTTCAAAGGGATCCATGAAGGCTTGAACGAAGGGTGCAGTAAACAAGAGCAAAGGATCTCGAACCGAACCCAAAGGAACGGTAGCTGATGCCCGAAACAAGGGATCTACATTTGTACCAGAGTTGTAGCCTTCGAGGGTTGTATCTCCACCATGAACATTGTCCCCAAGTCTCGTCCAGCGGTGGGATCCCTGCGTCTGCGCCCATCCGAGTAAACCTTGCTTGTCACGCTTTGCACAGCAATTTTCTTCACTCCAATCTACCACCATGTCGGAATCACTCCCAATCCCAGTGGAGCTCGTTACAATTCCCAGCTCCCGCACTCCCAGCGGCTCAGACACCACAGAGCGAAGCATTACCTCCGACGATGACCCTCTGCTGCTCGCAAGTCGTCTCCAGACCGAGGAGCATATCAACAATCTACGCCACAGAAAAAAGCGCCGGAAACAAGGCAAGGTCGTCGGCGAATTCTACGAGAAGCAGAACAAGCAGATCGAGGCCCTCCTCATGACGATGGACCAGCATATCGAGAATGCTCAGGAGGAGGAAGATACCAACAGGCTCGCAGTGTGTTTTTTTTGGGAGGCGAATAAGCTTTCGTTGCTTATATTTCACCCCCCAGATAAAGATCGCCATTTACGGTTCCCTCATTGCCAACTGGTGCGCTGTGCTTCTTTTTATTGTCCGCCAGCCGCCGTAACCGGAATTCCAGCGTCCTAGCCGTTCTCCAGATTTATGCCGCAGCATCCTCCCTTTCCCTGTCCTTCTTTGCCACCGCAATGGACTCGGTTTTCGACCCGCTAGCAAATTTCGTGCTCAATTACTGCCACCGAAAAGCTCTTTCAGTCGATCCGCGGAGATACCCCTCCGTGCGTCGAGTCCAGTGCATCGCTACTCGCGCCACTCATTTTTTTCAAGGGGGGCAGCAGACTGGAGACCATTGGGGACATCGTCTATGCGGGAGCAATGGGCTCTGTCTCCGTAGTCCTCATCGTCCGTATGCCTGTTGACTCTGCAATCCCTTCCCTGACGTTCCCGTCAGGCCTTTTCGATCCAAGACCTCGTCAAGGGATCCTCAGGCTCCGAGGCCCTCCACATTCCCGCCGTCGTAGTTGTCGGGATCGCCTTCGGTCAGTCCATGCTTCTAACATCCTCTCACCTCGCCACTTATTCATACCCTAGTCACGAAGCTCCTCCTCTTCATCTACTGCTATTCCATAAGGTCGAAAAATTCACAGGTCCGGGTGCTCTGGGAAGACCAGTGAGTCTACTTGCGCCCTCGGCACAGTTTCACAACTGATCGAATCCTCAGTCGAAACGATCTTTTCGTTAACGGTTTTGGGATCTTGACATCGTCTGCAGGCGCAAAGCTTCGCTGGTGGATAGATCCCCTCGGCGCGCTCCTCATATCCCGTCCGTTCGATGTCCTTGCCCTCCACTCATTCGGTGTCTAACGCACGCGACAGTCGGGCTGATCATCGTCTGGGGTCGCACCCTCTACCGTCAATTCCTCCTCCTCGCGGGCGTCGCCGCGCCGCTCGAGTTCCAGCAGCTCGTCATCTACAAGGCGATGATGTTCGCGGACGGGATCAAGCAGATCGACTCGTGTACCGTCTACCATGCCGGGCCCGTGCGTCATCCTCCCCCTCTCCCTGTACCGAGTTTTGACATGCACCCTGAAGGACTACATAGTGGAACTGGACATCGTGATGGACGCTGACACGCCGCTGTGGAAGGCGCACGACCTTTCGCAGGCGTTGCAGGACAAGATCGAGCAGATGCCGAATGTCGGGCGGGGTGCGTACGCGGGTGGGCTCTTGCATACGGGTGCTGATTTATTCTTCGCGCAGCGTTCGTGCATGTGGACCATGAGATTAGCCACAAGCCCGTAAGTTGCCTTCCGCTGCTCCCAAGGGATTTCGAACTAACGAGCTTTGTTTAGGAACATCGGAAGACGAAGTGAGCCCAGCATGAGATGGCGTGTGTAACCTGAGCGTTCGAGAAGCTCCGAGGCATGTATACCGAGTGGGTTCTAGAGGACGTTTTCAAATGATTTTACATTACTTGTAATTAATATATAACTCACTGGCACGTCTTGTCCGGCAGTTTCATCGCCGAGAAATGTTGCCCGTCGACGCCACCACTGAGATGCCTGCGCCATTTTTCCACATCACGCTCCCCTCGTACTGACCTCCAATTTCCGAAAAGCAGCACTTCGAGTCTGTGGTGGACCCAAGGTCTTCCCTCCTCTCTTGGCGCGGCGGAGCGGAACGTTGTAGCTCCAAAAAGAAATACCCCAACTGAAACTGAAACTTCGCAAGGCAGGGAAGGGAATGCAACAGAAGTTTCTCGCGGATCCACCCCTTACCCGGCCCATTAATTGTTTGTGCCACTAGGTGGACTCGAACCACCGACCTGCCGCCGTCGAGATCCCAACGTTGCGGCAATTCTACCACTGAACCATAGTGGACACGCCCATCGATGCATTCTTCCGTCGATGGGCTGATGATGTGTTACTGCGCTGCCGCGGAGACAGAGCGTTGTGACGCGAGCGCGGACCTGCCTTGCCAAATGCTACGGACTCACGCATTCAACCAGATATGTATCCTGCGCCAATCTGCGCTCACTTTTTTATAGTATGCTTCCATCATCCATGCCAAGGATGACGCGATGATGTCGTTTTGACAGGCTCCTACGCATCAGTGGCGGTGCAGGCTACTTAGCGAACTTGTAAGAATCTGCAACTCAGTACTCAACCTGCAAGAGTGAAGCGTCGAACTGAGAACTGTATTGAATTGGTTTATTGTCTTCAGAAAATTGTACCTCGCTACGTCAAGAGACTGTGAAAAGACTCGAGGAACATTGAAATGAACTCTTCGACGAACGGCGTGTCCAAGCTCTTTTCTCCCCATGTGATGGAGATGTTCAGGCCGCCCGCAGGATCACCTACAATGTTCATGGCCAATGCTGCACCAGCTACCGAGTCGCACTGGGAGAAGATTACTCTGTCGACAGCCCATTTTCCATCATTTGCCGGCACCTCGAAACGGCCGAGGTTGGATAGGATGAGGCCGTATGCGCGTTTTACCCCGAGGGTCCCCTTCATGAAGCTGACGTATCGCGCAGCGACCCAACCAATAAAACCCAGGAGCTCCCGACTTTTTCGCTTCTGTATCTGGAGCTCGGCGGCATACCGCGCCGCCAGTGTCCAGGAGAACTCGGCATGGACGGCTGCGAAGGTGGGGTAACTCGATACGTAGTTGCACAGGACGTCGTCGTATTGTTCCCCAACGAGCCGGCGCAGCGAAACGGGCATGTTGACAGAGATGGTTTTGTACCGCCCGGACTCAGGCTCGCTGGCGATCATGCGTGAGGAGACGCAGACAGCGAGCTCGTAGAGGGCGGACGAGATGGTTGCCTTGTGTGAGCGGCAAATATTTGAGAACTTCTTGACGTCCTCCGCCTCGAGTTGGAACAAGCGGAAATGCGTCTGAATAGTGGCGACCGTCGGCACAGGTCGGCCTGTCCATGCAGAGTACGCACTGGTCCACGACTTCGGGGCGATAAACGAGTAAAGGACGCTGATGATTTTCAACAGCGAGGGGCGTATATCCGTGACCTCCTCAATGGGTGGTAGCAGAGTAAGATCGGGGACGTGAACGGAGGGCGAACAAGGCGGAAGAACTGTTTCGTTGAGGGCGCTGATGAGCGAGCGATGGAAGGCGGCGCTGCTTAGGCCGTCGCCGACCGCGTGGTGAATAGCCAATATAACGGTATTGTCTGCGAGAACCTCTAGGCGCCAGAGCGGCATGTCCCCCAAAGTGTCCTCGAATCTCCGAGACAGCTGCTTCTCCGTAGCGTCATGCAGATCATGATTGCCAGAGAATTCGACGACGCGGGATAGATTCACGGTTTGAAGTCGGAAAAACGCGAGATCCAAGCTGTCCTCTCTGCTGTCGAACCGCACTCCGAGAAGTGCATGCGTCTCGATTAAAAGTTGGAGGGCAGGAAATAGAGTATCCTTAGTTAAAACCGTGTTTTCCGGTGTAGTATACCGCGCAGACGTGACAATGCAAGCGTCCATAGATATAAAGTGTCGAACGGCATGATATTTTTCTAGGGGCCCTACAGGTATGTGTGAGCAATGAAAATTGAGCTGTGATGTTGAGGTGACCAGAGACTGACCAAGCTGGCGTAGAAGTTGGGGGGCAGGCATTTGGGATTTCATGGTGAGTGGGGACCTGTGGGGACGATAATGTCGAACTGCCGTGATCGCTGAAAACCTGAAGACTGCTTGTTCTCCTGTTAACTTGTTCATATCTTCAATGTTCGGCCATAATGCTCGGCGATCAAGGTCCGAGAATCGCTGAGCTACCGTGACTAGCGGCCACCACTAGGTCAAGTTTCCTGGTCAACTTGACCAAGAGGCTGGGCGCAGAACTGTACAGCTGCGGCGACCTGCCATAAGGAAGGATAACCTGGTACCCTGAGCTACCCTGAGTGCATGAGCAGCGCTGAGCTCCGCAGCACCAGCCTACGCGGCGCGCCGCTACATAGCCTTCGGCGCTGATGAGCGGTGATCTGTTGATCGCCACGACCAGGGGTAAAACTCTCCTTCCAGTCTGAGATCTGAGATCTAGGAAATTGACGAGGAAGTTTCAGGAAGAGACCCAAAAAAAGACTAAATATTTTTTGGATCGCCACAATCGGCACATGAACATTCTCGTATGTGTGGTTGAAGAACTATAGCATCGTTTAATGATTACAATTCCGGTCAACCTGGAGAACGTTGAGACCAGGCCGATACGGTGGTTCTAAACATACAGCAATTCAGTCGAGCCCTTCTTCAACGGGACCCTCATATTTCTTGAGGGCGTCGATCAGCCTGGCCCATCTTCCCCCATGCCATGTCATCATATCCTTCCACTTGTCGCTGTCTGCACCGAAGCCCGTCATGCACCATTGCATCTCCCCTGCAACGCAAAAGTCCGCCAACGAGATAGTCTCGCCCATAACGAATGGATCGCCTTCCAGCATCCATCCGTGGATCTTTCCGTAGCCTGCTTCGACTTCCTTCCACGCTATTTCATGGGCCTCCCCAGTTGGCACCAAGTCCGCAAGTTTTTTCTTGAAGTGCTCTTCTCGTGTGCGTACGAAGTATTCTTCGCTCCTGGGACGGAGAATGCCTGCAATAGCAGGGATGATGTATGGGGCAATAGGGCCTGAAGCGTTGTCGAACGCTGCGCGGAAGGCTTTCTGCAGCGTGCGGGTCCCAGCAGGGATCAACTTGGGCGTATCGGGGTACGTCGCGTCAAGGTACTCGGCGATACGTGCCGAGTCGGAGACGACTGTACCGGTGTTGGGATCGCGAATGACGGGTAGCGAGTAGTATGGCGTCCCGTTCTTGCGAATCATGGAAGGCTCAGCGCCAATAGCTTTGCAGACGTCCGCAATGTCGGGGTATTCGACCCACGTCGTGCTGTACGGCAAGCCTTTGAAGTTTAAAGCGTATCTGTTTGGGTGTTAGGCCGAGAGTGATTGAATGCAAGGGCAACTGGCCTGATTATCCATGTGTTTGGGGACCAGACACACCCTGGCGCCGTCGAGGGTATGTCGTAGAAGACTATGGGTTTAATAGACATGACGGTTGAGGTGAAGCCGCGTTGCGGGTAGAGTATCGAGGGATCTTGACATTGGGAGCTGCGCAAACTGGTGCAGGCGGGAAGATATCATGATCGACACAGGATTAGATCCGAGATTAGATGCACGTGCGTTGACTACCTGCTTTCGACGACAGTCGACGACCACGCAAACTGCAATCGCTGGGCTACCGGTGGGCTCGCAATGAATCAGCGGGAATGGAGCTTTAAGAATGGTCGCTTTGACGACGCGAAACCTCTGACACTGGCAGGACCACTGGCGGCATCCGCCGGACCGCGCGACGCCCGTCTAGACGGCTCTATCACCGACTTCCTATGCTCTTCCTATGCACAGCTCAACAGCATGAATATAGCGATGTAGCGCTCGAACCCCGATGTTATCGTCTGGACTCGTACAAATCGTCAAGGAACGGCCAAGAATTTCGAAGATTGGGATGGAGGAGGAAAAGCCTGGCAAGATAGAGAGCCTAAGAGAGGTTCTGCTGTTCTTTCGGACAGACCACTCTCATCGTTGCGCGGACGCCAAACCGCATGTTTTTTTGTTCAAAATTCGATAAACTGAAGTTTGAGCCCGTCGTATTTCATGGTACATAAAGAAATAGACATATGTAGAACCCACTTCGGAAGGAGCCTGGGGGTATTCAAGACTCATCGGCCACATTAGGGATCTTCAAACTCGCCGCTCTGGCTATCTGCAGAATCTTTTCCGCCTGCATAACGTGTAAATCGGAAAAGAGTACAATACATTAGCCACCCACTTGTAAAATCATCGGCTTGTCAATCATTTCCCCGTCCAGGTTGGTTGCGCCTCGATTTAGAGCGTGCTCGCGCGCCATTTTGTGCACAATTTTAGCGGCGCGTTCGATTTCTAGGAGATCGTCAAGTCACGATTCCAGGTAGCGGGGAAAGGTCACCGTGACGCACCGGAAGCGGTGGGGACGAACGCTGACTGGATGACATCTACCTGCGTCGGGTGGATGGCTTGCTACATCCATTGTCAGCTGGCCTTCAAAGTTCGAGCCGGAGGCGTCAGCGCACCTTGCCGGTGAAGCCAAGCTGGCGCCCGTCTCTGCACTCGTCTTTCAGGTAACCGAGATCCTTGTAATTCACGCACACCTGGTTTCCGTTATTGCGGCATGCGATAAATATGTAGCGATACAGACGTACCATGTCTATGGCTTCGAGTCCAAAGGCTTTCGCCGCAATGACGATTTGCGAGCGCGTGTACAGCAGTTCGAGGCGGGAAGCTGATCGCAATATGGACGTGTCCGCGCAATCTTTGGACATTATTAGTGCATGAATAGAGAGAAGGGACAGAAAGGATCACAGTCTTCCGCGGCGAACTGACATGGGAGGTCAGCGTCGAGGAGGCAAATAGGTAGGAGAGACTTGCCAGCAACGCAGTCAACGTTCCTCCGATTCGCCCAAAGTCCGATCTCCAGCTGGCGATAGCCCCGATATTCCACGACGCGCGCGCGCTCTCAATACTGGCAATGAGGCTCAACGACGTGCCGTTGGCAGCGTGTATCGCCCTCGACACGGTATGCAAATCATCGGCAGAGTGCACCTTGGGAAGCACGAGGCTCCCGACAGCCTTCGACGTAACCTGCACAAAAAATGAGGACGCCGCCAGGAGAGGGAGGAGCTTTCGTTACGATGTTGGATATATCATCGAGGAAAAACGGCGTGCTGATGTCGTTAACGCGCACGGCGACGCGCTCGCGTGGGGGGAGGTCTCCCCGCTAGACGACAGGCTCAAAGCAGCGCGCAGTGGAGTTGTGCATGCTAAGTACCGCAAGGAATGCCGAGA